ACAGTGCCCCTATTGACCAGGAGAGGATGCAGCAGGAGCTGGTGGTCAAACCCATCAGAGTGAAGAAGAAGAAGAAAAGACATCAAGGTAAGTGAATTAGGACAGATGTCAATGCTGCCCTATGGTCAGTGACGGTTAGCTACACTATAGACACCATGTGTTTTTCCATATTTGGATATTAATAGGCAAGTTTAACATTACTGAGAAATGTAAGTGATTCAGTTGCATTAAAGTTGTGACTCAAGTATGTAACTTTTATAAAAAATATTTTGTAACATATTTGTTAAAACTGTCACTGTGTCCTGGCAGTATAGTATGAGACAGATAATATGTGAAAAAATGGAGCTTCTCCCAGTGCTAACTAGAAACAACCAATCAGAGTCAGGGGGAGGGTCTTAGAGCAGTCACTAACAATCTCCTGTAGCGCTGCTTACCCCTCCCTCCATTGCTCTCTGCTACGCTGCAGCTCCTTCTGGATAGCAGATCCTGTTGTGTATGCTAAGTCTAGATTACAGTGGATGAATGGTTTTCATGTAACAATAAGTTGTTTCTCCACCATTAGCACATTTAGCAGTGCACACACATGGTTGATTGGCAAAGCTCCTCCTCTTGGCTCTAATTGGTTATTTTTGGTTGGGCGCTGTGCCTTTCTTCAGACGGCATTAGCAGCTCAGGGAGGAAGTGGAGCAGATTGATGTTTTCACATATTACACTGTCAAATATGAAAAAAAAACATATCCTTATAAAAGCTACATACTGGAGGTTTACTATCACTTAATATAGGTGATATTACATTAATAATTGTAGCATTCTGTTTAGCATGTTGATGCTATATAGCTTTAACATGCTGACTAGTAGTATTCATTCTATTTAGCATAGATTGTTAGCACTGCTAAATAAAATGCTAACATTCTATTTAGCATGTCAGCATTCTATTTTGAAAAAATATGCTAACATTTAGCATGCTACTTAGTAATAGCATGCTAATTGTATTTAAAACATGCTATTTTTAAGCAAGTTTATCCTGAAAGCAGGCTGCATAATGCTAACAGAAGCCTAAGATGTCGTCACCTACAGCAGGTTCCTACTAGTACTACTGTTCACCACTCTTACTGTTGTTCTTCTGCAGATTACCATTCTTACTAATGTTCAAGCTTGCCATGTTATTGCTTGTTTAACTGAGTGAGCTAAGAGTATGTCCTGACAGGTTGGTATGACTCATTGTGATCTGTCTCCATCTGTCTTTAGACCTTTCCTTAGACCGTTGCTCTGGAAACCGTCTTGTAGAGAGCAGCTGCTCAGATTCAGTGTTTATAGTCCAGGACAGCAACTGTAGTGACGGAGAAAGTGGAACTCCATCCAGTGACCACGCCTTCCTCCTTGGCCTTGATGCTGAGAGCCAGGGCACTCTACAGCAGAACCATGACCAGAAGCCTCAGGAGACACAACACACAGGTTCAGATAACTGTTTGGAAGTCAGGGAGGAAGTGGAGTCTTCCCTCAACCAGTCTGGGTTTGTATCTGGTGATTGGCAGCCTTTAGTAGATCCCATTACTGCCGATCCGACAGTCTCGTTCTCCTTTTCAGTTCCATTCCCAGTGCAGGGTCGCTGCTCCTGTTGGGACTGAAGAGTGATCAGAACCCAGAAAAGGCTCAGAATGACGGTTCAGAGGCAGACTGTATACCCCCCACCCCAGATGTTGACCAGCTGCTGGAGTCCACCTTCTCTTACATGAAGGCTGAGGATGATGGAGGGCTGGAACCAGCATCCAGAGATGAGACGGTAGGTTTTCACTGGTTTTTTAACATTTCTGCCAGTTATGTAAATATCATCTCATACGAACGCTCATGTTTACTACTGTTGAACAATATATCAGAATGCATCAGTATCGGCCAATGTTAGCCCTTTTTTGACATATCTGTATCGATCCAGTAAGTAAAACAGGGATGCTAATAAAAACCGACGTTTATTTACGTCCTGTTGCTGTTTGTGTTTTAGCAGAGGGAGGAAGTTGGTCATGTGGTATTGGTAACTAGACCTGTCACTGTCACACATTTTCCTGGACAATAAATTGTCCCAGAAGTTATTGCGATAAACGATAATGTTGTTTTTGTTGTTTTGTTTTTAGACCATTTTCGAGTAATATAACGAGACTAGCATAATAATTGCAAGAACACATCCTCAAAGAGCAATGAACCTTAAAGTCTAATGAACATATAACACTGGAACTGGAAGATATTTTAAATATACAAAATAAATCAAGAAAACAACAAATAAAATGAATTATAAAGTCTCTGTAAACGACATTGTCCTTCAAAAAAGAGTTAATTGAGACCAAAGCACCAGACTGAAGACTTTTATCATCTAGTTTGGTACAAAGAGAAAAAAGAGAAAAATAATAAATCATGCAAATAGAAATGATTGAGCTTGTATTAATTTATCATGTGATTAATTGAATTCTTGCTCATTGCGACAATAAGTCACTTATTAATGAGCAGCATGCAGATTGTTCAGACGGCTCTCTCTCTGTGTGAGCAGGAGGACCACCCACTCCTCTCTCCTCAGCTGGCAGACCAGGTGTTTCCTTGTGATGAGAGCAGTCAGGACAGGAAGCCCAGCATGTCCAGTGATGAAGAGGGAGACATCTACTGCCACTCTGCTCCTCCTGCTGCTGCTGCTGCTGGAGGAGGAAACAGCCACAGCGCTCCATCTGCAGAGACGGAGAGGACAGCAGAGAGAGACGCAGAGCAGGACAAGACCAGGCCTTACTTGGTGAGAAATGAAAAGTATTCACTCATTTAGTGGTTTAGCTGTTTTTTGTCACACTGAAGTGATCAAAGAAGTGATCAGATTGTAATATCAGACAAAGATAACCTAAGACGATACATAAAAAAAACAGTTTTCAAATGATTGAATTTTGAACTAACAATAAAAAAGAGACTTGCAGTAATCAAGCTTTGAAACTACTCCAAAGAATCGTGTTAATCACAGCTACTGCAGGTTCAATCTTGAAGGTTGACAATAAAGCAAAATCAGAAGAAATCTGTAAACTGGGTAATAATCTGTCACTACACTGTATGTGAGATACTAAACCCCATGGTGCTGACTGTACCCACTGCAAGTCAATGAATGTAATTCAATATAAATATATAATGTTTCTCCTTTGCAGCTGGCAGAAAGCTGGATGGGCTACTCTGGACCAGGATGTGGGATCCTGAGCCTGCAGGTGACTGACAGGTGAGTCCGGTCAGCCTCCCTGCTGACCTGCTGCTGGCGCTCACATGGCTCACTCTGACAACCTGCGTTTCCAGGCATGTGTGGTGTTTGGATTTCAAAGGAGGGCTGTTCTGCAGCACCCTTCCTGAAACTGGACTCAGATGGCAGCGCTTCGAAGACAACGTCCACCAGGTGGCGCTGTCCCCTTCAGGTGGGCTGATGTCTTACTTTGGATCAGTGCCGTGACTCATCCCAGATGCTAACCGCTGTTAACCCCTCAGGCAACCTGCTGTGGAAGGTGGAGCAGAAAACCATGACGGCATTTGCTTGTGCCAAAGTGTCGGTTAAAGGAAAACGTCACTGGTATAAAGCTGCAGAGCAAGCAGCCTTCGTGGCGCTGAGTGACGACTCTGCTTGGATCATCAGGACCAACGGAGACCTCTACCTGCAGACAGGTGACTCCCAACTGTCGCATTTAGTCAAGCTTTACTGTCACTAAAACACCAATCATAACTTCAGGTTTAGCTTTTTTTTTCTTTGTATTTTCTTTCAACTAAGAAGTTTGTTTCTGTAGGAATCATATGAAAATAATATGTTTTTATTTATATTTTAATAAAAAAAATGGCATATTTAAAATGATTTATTCTCTTCTGAATAGTCGGTGAGTAAAATCTTTTTTCATGTTTCAGTTTTTTTTTGGTGATGAGCTCCTAGTCTTTGAGGTGGGGAGGCCTCCTCACCATCACCTGATCTGAATCTATCTTTGATTCAAATGCGTTTAAGACAAAAAGAAAATCCTTCTTATGAAACATGCTCTTGTTTGTAGCTCATATATTATTGGCTTATATATTTTAATGAATTTTTAAAAATACCTTTGTTTTATCTAAACAGACCTCCCTTGTAAATGAAATATTGCATCTCAGTGAGACAATAAAAAATAGAAAAAAAGGCTTCCAAAATGTGAAAAAGATAGAGTTGTTAATTGTACACAATACATAATGTACTTAGAAGAAAAAGTTTGCTTTGAGTTTGAACTGGTGAATAAAAGTAACTTGAAGGACAAATGGTTACGAAACCAGACTTCAGGCTTTGTTAGTTTGTTAGTTATGTTTAAGTGATTTATATTTATGGAGATTTTCCAAAAAACAAACCGTGAGACTGAAACAAAATGACTAAAGTTGCCGTTATATCAGCAACGTGATTATTTATCATAATTGCAACATTTTGTTTTGGATATAAAGGGGATTCCAGAGGCAGACAGAAAACTCCTCATTTATGCTGAGTCATGTTTATGGTTCAGTCATCCATCAACTTCTACATTTAATCAGGACCATTTCCTCTGACACACCTGTTTGTATAGCGTGTGACCAAAATATGTTTATGAGATGCTTTTAATCTGAAAAGATTACTTTCCACACAATCTTCATACATTCCATTTCCAAAACTTAGAAGTAATCCAAACTTTAACATGTGGATAGAAACATCTGCAGTGACTGTTGGCTTTGATTCAGGACAGAAAGAAGGCGGAGCTGATCTCACAGGTGCAGCGTTGCTATGGGTTACTGCTGCTACATTTAAGGCTGTTTGTGTTTCAGGTCTGAGCGTGGAGCGTCCCTGCGCCCGCTCAGTCAAGGTGGAGTCTCCGTGTGTGTTCAGCCAGGTGTGTGTGAGAGGGGGCGTGGTCTGGGCTCTAAGTGAACACAAGGCTTTGTTCTACAGAGAAGGACTGAGCAGCTACTGCAGCGAAGGAGACGGCTGGAAGTACGACACTGTCAGGTACCGAGCCGACTCTAACACACCTTCAACACAACCACAGTACAGCACAACTCAGCTAGTTGTATTTAGGTCAAGTTCCAAATGAAACATCAGTATAGTGGCCGTTTGATTTGAAATGGAAAGGAAAGACTAAAGAGATGAAACAATTGACAGATATTGATCATTTAAAGGGACAGTATCATGTAAAGTCAACCTTTTTTGAGTTTCACATCATATTATAAGGTTATTCCCTCATCAAAAACATACCTGTAGTCTTGCTTTGATTCTTTCATGCATGTTTGGAGAAATCTTTTAATCTCACTTGGCAACTGAAAAAGCCTGATTGGACCTAGCTGCACCTCTGAGGACGCAGGTCCACCTAAGAGCTGCAGTTTCCAGGCTTCTGAGCTTCTGCCTCACAGAGCAGCACTTCCACATTCAGCTCCTTCAGACTAGCCAGCAGCAATTAGCAAACACCTGGTAGAACTGCACATCTGCTGGGTTCATTCTAGGAGCTACTTCTCAGTGCAGCGCTGGTAAAAATGTTGTTAAAGGTTAATAGAGGAGCCATGTTGTGATGACATTCTGAAGGCGGAGTTTCAGAAAGAGCAGATTTTAAAGAGACAGAGGCCCAATTTCAAGGCATTAAATTAGAAAGTAAAATTTCATTTTACAATTAGTATCTGGAAAATGCATAATACCGGCCCTGTAACTCAGTGAAAAAGCGACCACACCACCTGCACTGCTTCTCTGCTGCAGTGAAACTCCCTGAAACGTTCGCTGCATCACGATCACTGTCACATGACTAAACAAAGATCACATGACCAACCTGCTCCGCCTCCAGATATTAATTCTGATATATTGTGCATCACTAAGCAAAAACCAGGGTTGCCATTTAGTTATTATTAGTACAAATGATCTTAAATATGGATGTCTTAAATCTTTGTTTGCTGGAGTTTGGAAACCCTGACCAGTCGGAGCTGACTGTGTTGCTGGCTGAGGATAATTTGTTCTTTTGCTTGGATTCTATATATGCATGTAGATCAGCTACATGTTTTTTTTTTTGCCCGGTAACCGAGCAACTAGACACACAAGTAAAAGTGAACATGTCATTAGTTCTCATTTGTCTGTTTCTGCTGCAGTGAGGCTCAGGGCCTGGAGCTCATCTGCATAGCTCTAGGAGGAGGCGGAACCGCCTGGGCGCTTGATGCCAGCGGCAGCCTCTGGTTCCGAACCGGCGTCTGCCCGTCCAGACCCCAGGGCAACGATGACCACTGGTGGCAGGTACTCATGTTTAGAGGGGAGCGGATCCATTTTGGCTTCTGTTGGGTTCTGGGTTCTGCTCTTTCACCACTCCGCTTCTCTTCTCCACCAGATCAGTATTTCAGACTACGTGGTCTTCGATCAAGGCAGTTTTTTCCAGACCCTGCTGCAAGCTACGCAGAGCGTTGCCACAGTAACCAGGGGTCCGGTGGAGCGGGTGGTGGCCTTCCTGTCGCAGTACTCCCAGTGTCAGCCCAGCCTGGTCAGTGCTAACGCCACTGGAGTGTGGGTGGCGTCAGGACGGAACCAGCTGCACCTGGCGCGTGGAAACCTCGTGGGTCAGTGAGGTTCTGCACAGCAGCTCAGCAGCTTTCAGTTTCCTCCTGCTTATCACTTCCATTTGGGTTCTTTCAGGAACATTTTGGCAGAACGTGGTCCCAAGAGGAACTGTGTCAGCCACCAGGTGGACCTTCATCACTTCTTCATCTGTGCCTCATAAAGAAGGTAAGCCGCCTGGACGGAACACACATCTGGACCTCTGGCACTCAGCTGTGCAGATGTCAGCTGTCTGTGTTGACTGTGTATAGGAACGTTCCTGTGGTTGGCTCAGAGCAGGAAGGATCTGTTCTGTGTGTGGGACCGGGATGGAGAGCTTCGTCCTTCCTCCGTCCAGCTCCCACCAGAGGTAAGACCACCCAGCTCGTCTCTGCGTCTAAACCTTCGGACCTTTCAAAATGGCTCTCAGTGACGTTCATAAAGAACAGATGTTTCTGAATATAGATTTTATCAGGTTTGAAACACTTCCATGGAATAATTGTTTTAAATGTCCATAACAGAATGAAATACTGAAAGTGTCCGTTATATTTTTTTTAGGTCTGTTTTTCTTGTCATCATGTTGGAGTCTTTCTACAGCGACTTCAACAGCATCACACATTTTATTTTCCATTATTTTGTTGGTAACTAAATATTGTCATCTTCCTAAAATAAAGGTCTAAGTAGTTTTTTTGTCAAAGTAATTTTTTGGTAAAAAGCTTTTAGGAAGATGATTTTGCAAACAAAATGTTTTGTTTTGGAACCGTGATGTTCATTAATGACGGACATTTTAATTTATTCAAATTATATAATATTTACCTATGATTTTTTTAAACAAATGTGGTAAAAATATGATGTTGAGAGATGAACCCACACTTTTTATTCTCATGCTATATGCAAAAAAATATCACTTCTAATATTTATGTTACTTTACAGTCTGCTTGATATAATAATCTGCATTGTTGCACCATCTTTTTAACTAATCTCACCATCCCATAAAATATAATGTATTGACTCCTTTTTTTTTTTTTTTTTTTTTTTGCATGATTTTTGTTTTATATTAAAAGTATTTATAGCAAAAAAGAAAAAAAAAATCACCACCTTGTTCTTGCCAAAAGATAATTTAGGTAAATAAATCACTTTTGGCAAAAAATGACTTACCATTATTTTAGGAAGTTGATGTTATGATATCTTAAAATTTGAAAAGCTAAATAAATAAAACAGTGGTTCTTCAAAAATGACAAACTTCTTAAAGTAGACATTTCTCAAAAAGTTGAAGTTACCCTTTTCAAAAGGTCATGCAGCTAATAGCTGTGTCTGGTCTACACTCTTTTCCTCTCTGTGAGCTCAGGTGGAGCTGACCCACTTATCCGCCTGTCGTGATGCTTTGTGGGGTTTGGACATTCACGGCCAAGTGAGCATTCGAACCCTGTCTCCTTCCTGTCCCATCGGTTTGCATTGGACCCTCCTGGACCTCAGCCAGCTTGGTGCGTTCCACAGAAACTCCGTGTTTTTAAAAACTTATGCTGAGCTGCTATTGTTGGTTTATTAATTTCTAGGTCAGATTATAACTTCATCACAGTCATTTTTAAGTCCTCCCCCCTTACAGAATGATGCAGTGCTTTGTATTGGACTATTATATGAAATCCTAATAAAATATAATGTTCTAATGAAATAAAGTGGGAAAAATCTGAAGATTTTGCAAGACACAGCAGTGTCATTGATTTCAATGGAGACCTGCACTTCCTGTGGTCCCAGCTGTGCGACTGCCCCCTCCTGGTGGCTAAGAGGCATAACAGCTGAGGGCCAGCTTTAATCTTTCACTCCATATCAGTTCTTAGATACCACAAACTGAGACATGAAACAACAAATATAGATTATAGCTTCAAAAAGGATTTCTTCTGTTCTGCCTAAAATTTTAGCCAATTCAGACAAACACTTCTCACTTCTCCAGAATGTTCCCACTGCTCCTCTAAACCCCGAATAGATGACACTGTTCACTTTGTCTTTATGCGCCGTGTTTTATTTTGTACAACCACTCTGTGCAGAGGATGTTTGGTGTAATTTGAGGCTCAATGTTTTTGGCACATGTCGGATAACGAAAATAAATCTCTGATCATGGAATGATTTGGGAGACAGCTGTTGCACCACCGATCACATCACGCATTGTTTCAGATGGTGCAGAAACACATTGAAGCTGGAACATCCAGACTCAGCTGTGTGTGTTCGTCACACTGACAGTCTGGGGTTGTGTAACAGGTTTCTGTCAGAGCTCAGCGGGAATGTGTGCATGTGTGATAGAGATAGTATAGCATGGCGGAAAGGTCAGATCTGTTTATAGTGCCTCTGCTCTTCTCATTATCAAAGATCACATGATTGCCTGACCTGTCTTCACCTGCTGTATGTTGTGGACACCCAGCCTGAGACACAAACTTGATAGTCTACTAGAATCGGTTCCATTTGTGACCAAAGTTGCAACATTTGTTACATTTTCAGCTGCTTTGGTTTCTCTTTCACTCCCCCCTGTGTCAAATTAACCAAAACCTTTGAAGAACCTGTTCACCTCCTCGCCTGTGAGGGCGCTGCACCAAGAACCACTGACAGAAACGATACAGAAATCACAGAAAATCACTTCATTCTTCACGAAAAGTAAATAAAAATGGAGTGATATCAGATTTTATTGGTTGTAGGATTTCTTATTGATCTTTGGTAAAAGACCAAAAAACGAACTCTGGTCTGTCTACAAACCTCGCCGACTGGCGACTGCTCCAAAAAGCTGGAAGCGGACTAATGCATAGGGCATTCTGGGTAAATATAACCAAAACAAATGCACTAGTTTGGGACTAGCAGGAGAAATGGGTTGTGGTCTTCTGCCAAAGACAAAAGAGAAATCCTCCAACTGCTAAAATTTTCTCTACTCCATTTTTGTTTTTATTTCATGAAGAAGGAAATTGCGTTCAGAGATTTTCATGTTGTTTCCTTCAGTGGATTTTGGTGTACAGGCGAGGAGGTGAACAGGTTTTTCAAAGGTTTTGGTTAGTTTGACGCAGTGCAGTGTGAAAGAGAACCACAGCAGCTGAAAATGTAATAAATGTTGCAATTTTGGTCCCTAATTGAGTCTACTGGACTATCACATCTGAGAAAACTGTAGTCTGCATTTTTTTTCCTCCTGGTTCAGAGTGATGGTTCATTAGCAGAACGTCTGCAGAACTTTGACATACTGAGCAGGTTGTTGGACCATCTGAATGAGCAGAGACGCATCTAAAGCTGGCAGGACATCAGCCCTGCCTGGAGGACTGGAACTGGACACCCAGGATCTACATCTTATGATTACAGTTTCATCATATTTATACACTGCTTGCTGTTTTCCACACATGTAGCACTTTTAGGCTATCATTCACTTCTGGCAGCAGATACAGCAAGTTCCAATATGACACTTTAGCTCATGAAAGACCTGCTGACCAACTTCTAATGTTCAGATTACACAACAGTCACTCTGTCACCTGAGCCACAGGCTGTTTGTTGACCCTGAGCTGCCCAGAGCTGCAGGCAGTAATATACATATCAGCCATGCTAAAACACTGTAAATAAATACAATAAATTGTATTTTTGGATTTTTAAAAAAAAAATATGGTTATTTTCAATTAGCAAAGTATGTCATAAATAGTGCTTTGCAAAAAAGTATTTCTAAAGATGGATTTTATTTATTTATTTTTTTTACATTTGGCCACATTGTTATCTATTCCGCCTATCCTTACATGTTGCTGGGGGGCTGGAGCCTATTTCCAGCAGCCATTGGGTGAGAGGCAGGGCACACCCTGGACAGGTCACCAATCCATCGCAGGGCAAGCAACCGCTCACAAACACACACGCACACACCATAGGACAATTTGGAGAGACCAGTTAGTTAACATGCAGAAGGGCCCCGGATCGAGATCCCAACCCAGTGGTCCCACATTACAACCACAAACCAAAATACGTCTTCATGGGATCTTTATGATTTAGAGCAACATAAAGTTGCTTAATTAGCTTAATTCTTTTCACAGCTCATTTTTTAAATGTGATGCTTTCATAACATGGTGACAGTTTTCACATATAAGTAAAAAAAAAAAATGTTTTAAAACTTATATAAAAGTCACCTACAGCAGCTCTAGGTTTTGCATACATCTGTTTGAAAATCCTAGTGCAGGCTCCATAACGAAGTGTTCCCGTTTTTCCTTCAGGAAGTGTTCGTCTGGTCAGTGTGAGCTGTGGCAGCCAGAATGTTTGGTCAGTGGACAGTCGAGGACTCGTCTACTTCAGAGTTGGAACTCAGCCTTTGAATGCGAGCATGATGATGCCGGCTTGGATCTACATCGAACCGCCTTCACAGGTAACGGCTTCAATATGCTGTTTGTCCATCTGACAGAGGTCCCAAATCAGCTTCTTGTGAAAAATGTTGATGGTCCAGTGGAGCAGTGGTCTGTGTCTTAGGTGTTCTTTAATATTTTTCATTGGTTGATAAATACCTACAGGTATTTGCTCTGTAGGGGATGGGATGGACACCAGCTGCGTTTCCGTTCCAAATGTGTGCAAATCTTTGTTTATATTTTGCTGATGCTGAAAAAACAAACTTTCACTAGTGCTGTGTTTCTATTTAAATAGGAAAGTAAAATCATGCGTGAATAAGCTTATTCACACAATAAGTCATTAAAAATCATGGAACCCACAGTTACATGAGATATATTCATAAGTCCGAGCTCATCATCTTTTAGCCAATCAGAAGAGACATCCTCATCTTATTCAGGCGTCGGAGCAAGAAGCCCCGCCTACAAAACCAAACCATTGTCCTCCTACTACTTCCTGTCGTGTTCTTTGTGGTTTTCACCAGTCCTATCATCCAAATGTTCGTCATGTGACTCGTGTGATGCAAAAATGTGTTTCCACTGTGGTTTTGTGAACTACTTATATTTGGATATGGCTGAAAATGTGTCTCATCCTAGCACAAAACCCTGATTTATTTATGTTTTTTTTAACTGCTTTGTTTCCATGAAGCAAATTTATTTTCTTAACTTCAGTTTGGGCAATTTTATGGTTAATGGAAACGCAGCTCCATGGAGTCATTCTACAGACATCCATAATGCAACTATGACCTGTCACATCTTTACAGCCAATAGGAGTCCAGCTGGTCAGCATCCAGACGAGTCCTAACGATCGTCTCCTCTGGGCTCTGGACAACAGGGGAAGTGTGTTTGTCAGAACTGGACTAAGTGATGAGATGCCTGTTGGGACAGACTGGGAGCTGGTACCAGGTACTTCTTTCTCTGACTGCTTCATCGATGTGCATTACCTGTCCATTCTGTGTGTTCCACTGGTTTACGGTGTTTGTGTGTGTGTGTGTGTGTGCGTGTGTGTGTGTGTGTGTGTGTGTGTGTGTGCGCGTGCAGGGCTGGCTGTCAGTCAGATGGTTGTCAGCTGTCAGACTGTTTGGGTTCGGTGTGTAAACGGAGAACTGGCTCGGCGTTATGGCATTTCTGATCGGAACCCTGCTGGAGATTACTGGAAGAAGATTCCTGGAAACACTAACTGGTTTACTGGTAAGACGGTTCACACCGGTTACAGTTGAATCTACATCATCATGACACACCTTGATAGGTTTGCATCACAGCCCATCTTCACTCCCATTCCTTTGAGTGTTCTAACCATTTGCCCAAACAAAAGAAAAAGTGAATTGTGTGTTTAATCTGATAATTATCAACTAGAGCTGCAGTCTTTAAAAACCGATGATGCATAAACAGATAATGGGAAACTTTTGAATAAATACTATGCTGTTCACCTGTTGCTACAAACTCTACATCCACTCTGTCTTATTTTTTTAGTGTAGAGTGGCGTTTTCTGATAACTCCAGTCTTTTATTAACTTTGGTTTCCTTAAACAGGAACACACCGCTAACTCGCTTTTAACAAATCAAAGTGGCCCATTAAAACATGGACAGGTAGAAATAACACCAAGCACAGGGACACCCTTCTAATACATTCATATTTTACCTATTATTATTCAGACAGGTTATATGTTATAAGGTAAGATTATGTATATATTATATTTGGTTTGAGAGTAGGCTGTCTCAGAAAATTGTAATATTAGCCCCTGTATTTTTTAGAGGTGCTAAAACAGGTTTAGAAAGAACAAGTTCATCTCTGGTAAGGTGTTAGAAAAGCTTGGATTACAAGCAAAAAGCACAGATTTGATGAACACATCAATCCAACAAAAGACAGGCGCTGATTATGAAAAATTAGCTGTACAAATGATGTGGTGTGTTTTAAACTGGTGTGATGTTGGATTGGACCGGGGCGCCTCCAGTCGGGTTGGAATGTGAGTCATAAAACAGCCGATCTTTGATCAGAAGCCGACATTTATCATTCCTCTGGATGATAAAGAAATTTGAGCGCTGAAGCAGCCAATGTCTCCTCTCTGCTCAGTGACTCCAGAGGAAGAGCTGTGGGCGGTGACTCCCATTGGAGGACTGTGCCGACGACTGACCAAGCTCCTCCCACACTTGCCCAGCGCCGCCCCGCCTGCAGGCGCCGTGCTCGGAGGAGAGGATGTTGAGGATGAATGGGAGCTGATCTGACCGGCGACTCCATCTCTGCTGCTGGTCATCTGGATCGGGATCGGCTTGGAAGAACGTTGTGATGTCATCGACGTTGCTCTTCCCATCGTGTGACTTCACAGCTGGACCAAATCTGAGCAGGCCGATGACATCATATCCTGCAGTGTCTGCTGTATGGGTCACTCTGGGAAGACCAAGCGTGAAATGAAATGAAGGGAATTTATCTTATTTTTGTAACAGGAAGCACTTTAACCTTATTTAACTCTGCTAATATTTATTCCAGACCAGTTCAGCACTTCAAGCTGGTTTGAAATTAGCTTTACGATTCATCTTAAGTAAACGTTTTAGACTAAAAGGAGACGTTAGACAGCTGAGTTTGGCTTAGTCCATTTGAAACTGTTTCTCTCCTTTCCTTGGCTGGATGCATTCACATGGTGCTGCATTCATGACCCATTCACTTGACGGAAGGAAAACGTATCTTTTTTTTTTTTTTAAACACAGAATTTGCCATATTCCTCGTCTGATGGCTTCCCATAAATCAAAACAAAGTTCTGAGTTGCCTTTCTGTTTGTGAGGATTTGGGCGTCCAGCCTGTCAGTCACAGACTTTTACCTTTAGGGCTGTCGGTCTTCATATGTTGCATCACTACTGAAGGGGTTGAGGACTTTCTGTCAGTTCAACAGACTGAGACTGTTTGAGTTCAGAACTGGAGTCCAGACCCTTCGGACACTGTACATAACAGCCTGACGGGGTTTCCTCTGTAACTGATGACCAACCCAGACATTTAAGGAGCATTTGAGTAAAATGTCATTCAGTTTGTCCCCTGCTCACTCTGACGGGTCCTTACTGATTCCCTGTCATCACTTTTCTGCTGTGAATTAGTTCATTTTATTTTGTAAGTATTTTTGATTTCTTTTTATCTGTTATCTTTATGCATTTGAGGAATTTTAAGGGAGCACATCATTATCTCCCAAAAGTTTGTTTTTCTTCTTCTCTGAGTTTAATTCTCTAACTACTCTAACCAACCGCACAACCCTTACTACTTCAAAACGTTTACTTTGTTCTTTCACACTAAATAATAAAAGAGAATAACCCGGTAACACTGAGAAGAGCAAAATATTCAAGCATAAAGTGGATTAACTGTCACTGCTGTCCTGTGGACAGTTTTATCCCAGTAGCTGCAATCAGTTTTAGTTGATAACTGAAGATTCGGGACCCAAAGAAACTGAACTCGAGGAATTGTTGAAACAAATATTTGTTGACTGTGGAAATGAAAACTTGTATGATCCCTGGTAAAACCCCATGTTCTCTGATTGTCCCTGTTTCACTCATCAGTCTGCTCTGGGTTTAAATCTAAAGAATAAAGTTCTGCTCACTTTAATCTGTATTACACTCCCTTGCATATGGTTAATTATCGTTTTTCACTGAAACGTGCAATGAGACATGTCCGCTGCACAAACAGACACAAAGCTCTCCTGAGTAGCTCAACAACTAGAAGGTCAATATTGCTCTCTTGTCGTTCTCCACTGACCGTTTCTGTTCTGTGTTGTTGCTCTGGAAGATCCCACAGTGTTGAGGCTTTAATTGACAAGCTGTGATTGTCAGGTGAGCTAGTCAATCACTCTGTAAAAGATGTTTTATTGCACAGACAGGTGAAACATTTCATCTTTTTCACTTTTTTCCCCACATGTTTCCAAATTGTAAATAATAATTTGCAACTTGGAAAAGAGAGTGTCAGCTCTAACCTGGTGTGAATACTTCCACTGATGCATCTGAGCACATCAGCTGTGATGTTCCTGGAGTCAGTCAGTGGGTGTTTCGGGTCTTTCAACATCATACACCCTCTGCCAGGTGGATTTCCAGCTTTTTTTCTCTGACAGACTTAGAGACAGACTTCAACTGTGCTGACTGGTGTTCTTTCTATGCTTCTTTCTCTCTCCTACTCCCATCTCCTTTCCTTTTGAACCCTTTTAACAATCTTTCTGCTTTTCTTTTCTCATTTCTTTTTTTTGTCTCTGTGTCCATTACATTTAAAATAAACCTAAAGAAGTTTCTACTTAAATTATTTATACATCAAGTGGAGCATCATGGCGGAAGCAGTGATGTTCCACATGTGAAAGTAAATCTGTTTTGCCTCACCTTATAATAATAAGATAATAATACATTGTTCCCACAAGTCTGAACTGGAAGTGATACACGCCATCTTAGTAGGCAAGAGCATGGCATCGTCAGGCTGCTGGACAGGACGCGTTTAAAATGATAATAATTTTCTCTCTCTCATTAGCTGCGTTTCCATTACAAATGTGCACAAAACTTTGTTGATATTCTGTTTGTCGAAAAATACAACTTCACAATTACAGTGTTCCTATTCTGAAATTAAAGTCACACAATAAGTTTGTTCACACAATAGGTCATTAAAAATCATGACAGCACAGATGTAAACATTTACATGATATATTCATAATTCAGCCATGGCACTGGCGCTCATCATCTGTCAGCTATTAGAGGTTTGTGCTATGGATTCAATACGTTATACTGATGCACAACTTTATGTGAACTGTGTGATGCTGTCAGAGCTCTGCTGGAGCCAGCTGAGCATTGTCTGAAAAACACAAAAACAAAAAAAACATCACCCTCTTACTACTTCCTGTTGTGTAATTCATCGTTTTTGCCCGTAGTAGCATCCGGCTTTTAGCTGCTTGAGTCATGTGATGCAAAAAATTTATTTTCATTGCATTTTGCATAATACTTTTATTTTGAAAAACGACCTCATCCTACCACAAAAACTTTACCAAAAGACGTGGCTTTTTTTTCTTCCCGAAACTGACTTATTTCCATTAAGTAAACTTATTTTTGTAATTACAATTTGCACATTTCTGTGATTAATGGAAATGCAGGTTCTGACACCTCACTGGGATGATGTATAGCTCCAGTCTTCCACCTGCATCATAACGGTCCAGACCCTCTAATCAGTTCGGGAAAATATTTTAAATAATCCAGTTGGCCAAAAGGTCATCCGTTGGTCCTCAGTATTGTCTTGCAGGGAGACTGGACACCAGGGAATTTCAGGAAATATTTCCAAAAGTGGTTGGCTAACCCTGGACTACCTGCGGTGGAAGAGTTTGGTCCGGCCAACCCGTCTGTCAGATGTTAGGAGTAACTACATCTGGCTCAGCTGTTATGTTTTAAGGCTTCATTACTATTTTTAATTGATTCTATTGTATTGATCCCTGTTGAAGTAAACACCTGAAGCAACTGGAGTCTTTATGACTATACACCTAAGAATGATTGGCTGAGAATGGTTACTGTCCGTTCTTTATAGTATACTGAATCAATCAACTGTAAACACATTTATTGGACATTTCCATTAGCCAGACGGTTTAGAGCACAGCACTGGCTTTGACTGCTGATCAGCTGCTTCCTCCTTAATGTTGTTTC